GACGAAATTAGAGCAATTGGCAGTCGTGTGGAGTTTGGAGAGACTGCGGCACTATCTTTTCGGTCAGGAATTCGTGGTAGTGTCAGATTGCAGCGCGGTCGCAGCTTTGCAATCGAAGACAGGCACACCGCAGCTCAATCGATGGTTGAATCGGATTTCGGAATTTAACTTTAAGGTACGGCAACGAGCAGGCAAGGCGATGGGCGATGCTGACGCTCTCAGTCGTGACCCATTTGGAGAAGGAAAAGACTTAGAGGAAGGGACACTCCCAACGGACTCGATCGAGAAGTCAATTTTCAAGATTTTGAAAGAGGTCAACGAGTATCAGATGATGCAGGCGATAGACCCCGTTATCCGCGAGCAGATTCAGATCTTGGAAAGACCGAAGGCGGATAGAGATCGCCGAGAAAATAATTTAGTAGAAGGCTTCTCCGTTTGCAATGGGGTACTATATAGGGTATTTCAGGGCAAGCGATTATTCGTGGTACCTAAGGCTTTGAGGAAGTACATATTGATTATGGCTCACGATAAGGCAGGCCATTTCGGAGTCGATAAACGATGGAATTGATTAGGGGAACGTACTGGTTTCCGAAGATGCGGGAATATACGGCGTACCATTTGAAAGGCATGCATTAATTGCATCTTCAATAAGGCACAATCAGGCTCGAAGGAGGGCACGTGTCAGGTGATCAGGCCCGAGCGGCGACCGTGTGAAAAGGTCTTCATAGATCATATCGGTCCGTTGCCGAAATCCGCAGGCAACGAGCATCTTATAGTCATGGTCGACGGATTGACGAAATTCGTAATGCTTCAGGCAGTACCGACTACTTCGGCTGCAGGCGTTATCAAATTTTTGGAGAAGGCATTCATGACTCATGGGAGGCCAACGAGATTGGTTTCTGATAGAGGAACGGCGTATAAGGCTAAGTCATTCGAGGAATTTCTCGCGGCAAATGGGGATAGGCATGTGCTGATTAGCACGCAGCATCCGCAGAGCAATGGTCAGGTAGAGCGGATTAATAAGGAAGTATCGCGATTGTTGCGATCATTATGCGAAGACCCGGATCGACGAGATTGGGCGAAGCATGTACCGCGAGCTCAGATGATGCTAAATTCGGTAGCGTCTAGGAGTACGGGAAAATCTCCATTTGAGGTATTACATGGATATATTCCCAGGCTGGATAATCATTCCCAATTGGTCGAAGAGGTTCAGGATAGGGTATGGACTCCTGCAGCAGAGGTTCAGGAGGAGATAGTCGAAAATCTCAAGAAGGCTCAGAATAGATATGCGTATTATTACGATCAGAAACGCAGGCCTCATTTCGTCAGGCTAGCGATAGGAGATATCGTTGCCGTGAGTCGATTACACGTCCACACCGGTGAACCAACCAAACTTCAGGCTAAATGTAGAGGACCGATGATAGTAACCGAAATTCTCCCAAGGGATACTTATAGGCTAGTCCAGCTAGGCGACAAAAAGTACACATGTACGGCGCATTGTTCACAGCTCAGATACTACAGGGTGAACAGCGAAGACGAGGAAGATGCGATCCCGTTCGACGATACGTTTGAGGAAGACGAGCCAGAATTCGTCGATTCGCAGCAGGCAAACATCGAGGGAACGGATCAGGATCAAGATATCGAGGAAACTATAGTCCAAGAATTGGAAGGAGTGGAAGATCCGAATATGATCACGGAATCAACTAGGCTCAAGGAAGGCTCAACGATTCGAAGCGAAGAGGCATCATCACCGATAGAAATTTCATCATCGTCATCAGGATCGTCGGCGGAGATTCAAATCAATGTGAATTCAGCCAGGTATTCAGGCTTGTTAGGAAGAGGTAGAAGGCCAATTACAGATTTGAACACGGCGATAATGGAATCTCCAGGTACATCAGAATTATCAGAGGCAGGCTCTAGTCAGGCTAGGCAGCGTCCGAGTAGAATTACTCGATTCCAAGGAAAATATTCTCAGTGATGTCGAGGACGACATATAGGTAGCGAGACCGAGCGGGTTGGTTAAACAGGCATGGTGTTAAGTTCGGCACGTCTCGAGAAGACAATCAGGTCATCAGACGGCTCATCGAGGACAGGGACAGAAGGATCATTCGATCGCAGTCGAGCACGCAGCAAGCATCGTGCAGCGTGAACCAACTCTAACGGCGAAGGAAGTCAACATCACCTTGAACGCAAGGCCAGATTCCTGTGCTAACTGCGGCGACAACAGGCACAATACGGGCTCACCGAGGTGTCGGCGCAATATGTGACGAGCACCGCTTGGCATCAATTAGGCCATATAGAGCTCTAGGCACTCGGCATTTAGGCACCCAGGCACCAGAAATTGTTAGGTTGATCAGGAGATCAAATTGGTAGCAGTGGTCGAGTGTCAGAAGCAGAGATGTCGTATGGGCACGTTAGATCAAGGTGCACGGGAGATGTAGCGAACGTGCACATAGACAGAGTCTTGTTCTGACTGGCGTAGGCGTCGGTCGTGCTAGTGGTGGGCTCCTCGATCGATCGAGGCCCAGGCAGTAGGCTGCCAAGAGAATAAACTTGAGAGTGAACTAGAACGACTCTTCCCTTTTCCGAGTATCCCCACAACACCCCCCGGACCGTTATATGAGTGAGGTGAAAGACCTCGGAGTGCGATACTCTCACAATCTGAACTTCAGCGAACAAGTCAACCACGTCGTCAGGCGAGGCTCTATGGTGGGCAACTGGATCCTGAGATCATTCAATGTAACAGATGAACGAGTCTACCTGAAGCTGTTCAAGTCAATCGTGATACCCATTCTTGTGTATGCTAGTCAGGTCTGGCTGCCTTCAAAGGCGACCGACATCGGGCTCCTGGCGAAAATGCAGCAACGATTCCTGCGAATGGTAGAATATCGATGCGGACTAGAGGAACCCTTAAAGAGCCCTCAGAGAGAGAAAATGAAGATAGCAGACCTAGGACAATTGAAAAGGATTATAGAAAACGATGAGATGTTTGACATAATGTTCGACATCCACACAACGAACTCTTGACAAGGCTGTGTCATTGAAACCAAAGATAGGGCCCGCAACAACAGAATCAACAACCTCTTCCCTTGGAAAATGGTTAAGATGATAAACGGAACTGATTAGAAATACTGCCATATTGTACCACCTCTTAGAAATATAATAAAGAGAGTTCAAACCCAACTAAACTTTGACTATGAACCTCCAGTCCTCAGAGATTGGTCCAAGAGAAAACCTATCGATCCTTTAATGTTCAGCGTGGAAGAATCTCACGCTGATCCCAAGAACCACAAGGAAGCCATGGCATCCAAGGAGATCAATGGCTGGCTGCCATGAAGGACGAAATCACCTCACTATGTAGAATCGATGGGAGTATGGAGACCAGAAGATCTACCTCCCGGTCACAAGATCACCGGAAACAAATGGGTCTTCAAGCGCAAGAAAGACGCCTCCGGTGAGGTAGTTCGTCACAAAAGCAGGTTGGTCGTCCAAGGATTTCTACAGCGAGAGAATCTCGACCTCTTCGAGATATTCGCACCTGTCTCCCGATTCGATTCATGCGGAATGCCGCTGAACATTGCTGCCCAAGAAAACCTCCGACTTTTTCAGTTTGACGTTGAGACAGCGTTCCTGTATGGCAAGTTAGACGAAGTGATCTACACCCATCAACCTGAAGGATTCTCCGATGGAACGGGCAAAAGTCTTCGTCTTCTCAGATCTCTCTATGGGCTTCGCCAAGCGCCCCGCTGTTTCTTCACGACAATCAAGCCGTCCTCTTAAAGCTTATTCTGACCCAAAGTAAATTCTATCCTTGCGTCTTCTACAATAAGGAGGAGAGATTATTGCTAGCATTATACGAGGACGATGGCCTCCTCCTCGGCCGGACAGAAGAAATAATCGGAGAGTTCCTCGAAGGTCCCCGAAAACATTTCGAGATAACTTCAAAGCCTGCTGATCTATTCTTGGGTATTCGAATTATTATAAATAAGAACCACAGCATATTTCTTCGTCAAGAACATTACATTAAAGAACTGGTTGCTAAATTCAACTTGCAAGATCCCAGACCACTAAAGGTTCTGCTCACGGGGGATTGTAATTCCCCTGATGATTCTGAGGTAATTGACTCCACTCAATATCGCCAACAGTGCCGTTCGATCATGTACCTGAGTGTTGGAGTGCGTCCAGAAATTACGTATGCCGTATCCTATCTGTCTAGATTTCTGGAGAAGCCTACTGCCAAGTTATGGAAACTCGGAATCCGTGTGCTTCAGTACTTGAATAGTTCTCGCAGGTATGGCCTGTTATGTAGACGCGGCAGCGAGACCAATTTCCAGTACTTCTCATCAGGAGCGGATTGTGCCGGTGACCCAATAACTCGCAAGAACATGAGTGGAATGCTTGCAATGGGATATGGCGGATCACCTGTCTCATGGAGTTCAAGTCGTCACAAAATCTGCGCCTTGTCATCGACCAAGTCCGAGCTTATTGCTGACGTTGATGCCGTCAAACACGTTCTGTGGATGACAAGGTTCCTGACTGATAGAACAGAAGCCCATTCTATTTGTTATTGTTATATTCTGTGTTATATCTTTGTTATATGTCTGTGTTATATTCTATTTGTTATTTTAAACGCTCCCGCGAATGACGGCGATGATCTCCGTCGATACGTTTTCGCGCCAATAAATGACCAGCCAATTCATTCCGACGGATTCAAGCCGGAACGTGCTTCTCAATCACGTGTGGTGGTTTCTAGTGTAAACAGGGAATAGAGCGACCGTGAATCTAACAACTGGCGACGAAGAGTGGAACAACGACTTCACGCGTGTATTTGTCGCTCGTCGCTGTTGAGAAACTACGAAGAAGTGTTCTGAACGGCGAAGTCTCCAGCCCGAGGACCTAACCCTAACCGAGTACATACCATGTCGGAGTTTCAAGTGTTTCCCCAGTTTGTGCCCGAAAATGAGTCGTGGCAAAAGTGGACGTCCCGACTGGAAAGTCACATGGTACTGCAAAAATGTACGACGCCGGAGGACAAGGTCTGTGCTGTGATTACCTACATGGGACATGTGGCATACCAGGAGCTTCATGACAAGATTCACCCGGAAAGAAAACCGAGAGATCTTACATACGATCAGATCGTGAGCATTCTGGGACAGATTTTCGAGCCGCAGGAGAATCTTTTCGGGTCAAGGATCGCATTCCGGAAAATTTGCCAAGTGCCCGCGGAATCGCTGGTCGAGTACGAGGCGCGCCTGCGCAAAGCAAGTACGGATTGCCGATGGCCGGCCGGTGAGGAACTCCAATCAAACCTCATCGAGCAATTCATTGCCGGACTCGAGAACAAACAACTGAAACAATCTGTGTTGCTCAAAAGCTCGAAATACAAGAAGCTAGACGAACTTTTCGAATATGCAACAGACATCTTAATGGCTCGCAAAGCAGTGAATGAAGCAGAAACCCCAAATCTGCCGGTCAACTTCGTGAACGACCGATCGAGACGATCAAAACGCAACTTCGTGCGAAGAGGGACTCGAAGTCAGAAAACTGCCCGAACCCGTTATCGCTGTGGTGACAAAAACCACATGGCTCCGGACTGCGAGGACGAGTCAGTCAGGTGTGTCACAGTTGCGGGAAAACAGGGCATCTTCAGAGCGTCTGTTCAAGAGCTCAACAGCAGAACTTCTTGACGGAAGTATCTTTCCATGATGTTCATGAAGATGCCCCCTTCCGAATCACAGTCCATACGGAAAATCAACCAACATCGATGGAGGTGGATTCGGGCAGTGGGATATCAACGATGCCCTTGAGCGATTTCCAGAAAATGTTCCCCAGACATGAGCTCTACGAGACTGACATTTCGCACCGAACGGCAACTCAGGCGACATTCAAACCTCACTCGTATGCCTGGGTAAACGTTCGTTACGGCGAAAGCTCAGTGAAATTGCGACTCTACCTCATTGATCAAAAAAACTTCCCTTCGTTGTCGGCCGAACGTGGTTGAAAGAGATGCAAATTGATCTCAATCAACTCTTCGGAGAAGACATCCATCAACTGAGACTTGCAAACTCGGACAACCGGAACGAGGCGCTCGCGAGAAATCTTCTGAAATAAAAGAGAAATAAATAAAAGAAATAAAAGAGCCTCACCAAAGGAGGAGTCGGAAGCATCCCAAATGCCGAGGCGAAGCTCGAGTTGTCAATGGAGACCCCGACACCCGTCTACCTCAGAGCACGACTAGTAGCTCACGCACTCATTGAAATGACCGATAAGGAACTCGATAATTTGGAGGACAATGGAGTTATTCAAAAGGTCGATGCCAGCGACTGGTCGCATCCGATCGTCATCGTTTCTCGAGCGCAAGGTAGAAAAGTTAGAATCTGTGGAGATTACAAAGTTGGAATCAACAGATATCTCAAGGTAGATGATTACCCGCTCAAGACTATCCGACACGCCCTGGATAACATCGGGAACGGTTTGAGGTTTACTAAACTCGATATATCATCTGCTTTTCTGCACATGCCCGTTCGCGAGTCCGACCGAAAGTACCTGGTTGTAAATACTCACAGAGGGCGTGTCTGAACCGATGAGGGTGCTTTGTGAAGTGAATGGTATCACTCAGAGAACTTCTCCACCTTATCATCCAGCATCGAATGGACAGGTTGAAAGGAACGTCGCAACCATGAAAATGTCATTGAAGAAACTCGAAGTGGAGGGAGGAGACCTAGCCGGGAATCTAGCGCGATTTCTGTTCAGGCAGCACATTCTAGTCAGTGCAACTGGGCAGTCACCGTCCGCTCTGATGCTCGGTCGGGAACTCCGGTCGAAACTCGACCTCCTTCGAGAAAAGCCTCGTTCAAGCATGTCAAATACTCACAGCGCAGCGAGTGACAAGGATCTCAAATTCTCCCGAGATGAAGTTGTAATGGTGAAAGACTTCAGAAAAAACGCTTGGATCGTTGGGAAAATTCGGAAGATGTGTGGCGCGACAATGTGTTTTGTACGCGTACCACAGGGGTCTTGGAAACGTCACTTCAACCAGCTGCGAAAATGTTCACAGGAACTGCCGGTCCCAGAGGATGACGCTGAAGGCGCACTCGATTTCGATTTCGACGATGGTGGCTCATTGAGCTCTTCCCACAGCGCCTTGGACGACGAAACCAGCAACGCCCCGATTGGCGACATGGATTTTCCACCATCCGAATCGAGCGAAGAGAGAACCTCAGACGATGTGCAACGAGAGACGCCTGAAATTCCGACAGAGACCGCGAACGAGGACTCACTCCGAAGATCCACCAGGGGCAACAAAGGAATACCGCCTGTCGAATTCTCGCCCCAATGAAATACTAGTCTAAGTCAAGCTTGTGATATGTATTGTGTCACTAAATTAATAATCGTGTAAAGAAACTTTTGAGCGGGGGGAAGTTGTTATATCGTCGATTTTAAACGCTCCCGCGAATGACAGCGATGATCTCCGTCGATACGTTTTCGCGCCAGTAAATGACCAACCAATTCATTCCGATGGATTCAAGCCGGAACGTGCTTCTCAATTACGTATGGTGGTTTCGAGTGAAAACAGGGAATAGAGCGACCGTGAATCTAACACTATTCATCGACAGCCAGAGTACTATTAAGCTCATCAACAACGATGAGATCTTTCATAAGAGAACTAAGCACATCGAAGTACGTTGAAAAAAATGCGTTCATCCGTGGCGGTGTAAACAGTGCGCGATCGGACCGGCTGAGAAAAGAAACCGTTGAACAACCCGTTGAGAGCTGGAAAATAACCCTGTTGTAACTAACCACCGGTTACCCGTATAGGGAATACAGATATTTTCACTGTCGAAGCTCACTTCATTGATAACGACCACGACCACGCGGTTCGTTGATCGCAGGACTACTCATGCGCTCTGAGAAGACCTCTTGGTCTACGCTCAAAATGAAAGAGGGCGATCCGTTCCTAAGAATCTCCCGGGAGTAATCTCAGAGATTACTCGACCTACGCACAATCCACGATTATTGCCATCAAAGAATTCTGTAGAGGTGTTGGTAAGTCCGGATGAGAGTTCCATTCACGGTGCGAACCCTGCACGCTCTTGCCTTCTCGTCTTTGCCGATGATGAGTTCTTCAATTCTACCTAGACGCCATAACAATCGACTGACGTTGTCTTCATGAATCAGAACAATATCTCCTACGGTGAGAGGTTAAAATTTACCATCTCGAACACGATGGGCCGACTTGAGGACCAAGACATACTCATTACGCCACCTCGTCCAGAATTCATTTAGAATTTTTTCCTTGATCTTCCAAAGTTTGGCAAGATAATCTTCTCGCCTCTCAGCGGATGTGATCGACCCCTCTGGCAACGCGAGTCGTGCGCTGGGTGTCAAGAAATGCCCCGGAGTGAGAGCCTCGAGTGCGTTAGGGCTATCGGGTACGGGTACCACAGTCAGAGGGCGAGAATTAATTATAGCTTCAATTTCTTTGATCAGAGTCATGAAATGAAACAATGACAACTGCTTCGATCTCAATGTCTTTCGGAGACGATCTTTCACCACGCGAACCAATGTCTCGAACTGTCCGTCCCACCAGGCGGCCCGCGGGACATTGAAACTCCAGCTAAAGCCTTTTCCTCCCATGTAATTCTGCAGAGTCTCGTGGCTCAGATTGGACCAGAGCGCTTTCAAAGCCTTGGCGGCACGCACAAAATTCAGTCCATTATCTGAAACCGCTTTTTCCGGTATACCTCGACAGGCCACGAATCTTTTCAACGCATTCAAGAAAGCCTCAGCAGACAAATCCTCGACCACTTCGAGGTGAATCCCACGCGTGCAAGAGCACGTGAAGAGTGCGATCCATGCCTTCCCAGCCTTTGTATCAAGGGGTCCAAGGTAATCCACCCCAACATTCTTGAAAACACCACCCTGTTCAGTCCTTGCCGCAGGGAGAGGTGCCTCCATTTGAACTCCCGGTTTGGCCGTGAAGCGCTTACAAATGACACAATTGCCTAGTATCCTTTTTACCTCTCGTCGGGCTCTCAGGACCCAAAACTCTTGCCTTAGATGTGAGAGGACGATGCCGATGTCTGTCCGCAAATGAGCCACCCTATTCTCATGAATGTCTCGAATGAGTCGATCAGTGAAATGATCCTCGGCGAGGAGAAGAGGGCGTCGAATATTCTCACCTCCGTCAAAGTTCTGGAGTGTGTCATCCGACCCACCACGACCCGAAGCCGCACCGAAGATAATAGAGCCGATCGTCTCCCTCGAATCCGTCTCCTCTTCCAGGAGTTGCATCAAGGCGGTAAATCTTTCGGTGAAAACACCGATGAGGTCGACTTTTTTCATATCTGGTTCCTCAAGTCGATCACCGTCCACTACTGCTTCGACCGTATCTTCTATCTGGTTAACAAATCGTAACGACAGGTAATTCGGAATACTTCGTAGAATTATAGGGTACAATATGGTTGCGTATGATTTCTCGTCGAGACCCACAGATCTGAGAGACATCACGTGACTATTCACCGTATCCAGATGGCTTCTCAATTCTCGATTATCCTGGCCTTTGGGTAACTGCGTCAGTCTTGTCGCGATTTCCATGGCGATAGCCTCGACTTTCCCATACCTTTTCAAGAGATAGTTGATGGCTTGTGAGTAATTCGCTCCGATAAGGGGAATTTCGTCAAGACTATTCGCCGCCGATCCTTCAAGGAGATTTCGGAGATACGTGAATTTCTGCCCATCTGACATATGAGGTCGATTATGCATATTCAGCCTGAACTCGTTCCACAATGGGTAGAATAGCGTGATATCACCGTTGAATTTCTTGACGTTAAGGACAGGCAAATGGTGAGATTGCTGTTCTTGGACAACTGTCAATCTCGACAGCATATCTTGCACCTTAGAGTCTTCCATGACGCTGTTGTTCATCCGTGATTGTTCGGGAAGCTTCGTAACTGTCAGCAGGATTTCGTTCGATGATGATGGGCCAAAATCATATTCCAGATTCTGCAGCTCCTGCTCGATAATTGCTTCAGCACGCTCGATACTTCTGCAATGCCTGTTCACTTCGACGATTTCGTTTTCATAATCTTCGTTAGTCAGGTTATTGTCAGTGGCCGCGAACCATTCCTTGTCCAGCGCCATGAGCTGCTCTCGGTAACTGTCGGAAATAACCCACTGGTGGTCAGTCGATGGTCACTAGATCTGAAAGTAAGCTGTGAGCCTGGGAGATCACGGCGGAATAAAGATACAGGGATTCGTTGTGAACCAGTAGCTCCTCGCTTGCGCGAGTCTTTATTACCAGTATATACACCCTAGGGGAGAGCATCACTTGCGGGTGCAGATCTGAAGGCGGAAGTCCTTCAGATCTGTGGCATTACGCATCTATTGTTCTGGAGACGGAAGTTCTCCAGAACAGGCTCGCTTGCAATTACTGATCTGAATACGGAAGTCATTCAGATCTAGGTCACGAAAGATTACCCGGATGCTACCCATAATCACACTGAGAATGTTACAGCTATGTACTTTACTGAACTCTCCGACGTCGGACCTTCACGGAGTGCAATCAAGAGAAGTTGTCTAGGATAATGCTGAACTTTATCAGCGAAAGAAAAATTCATCGAAGCCGCGCTGATTTACTGAATGTTCTGCGACGCCATACCATGATAGCCACAATCTCATCGGTGCCCGTTATCAGCAGTCCTCTCTCGGGTGGGAAACGATTTTTCCCCACAAATCTCAAAGACAGGACAAGCAACAATTCAAGAATGAATATCTCACGATATTGTCTTTGATGCAGCCTTTGACTCCGAGACCACGCGGAGCCGATTTCGATTCACATATAATTCGCTTCATCGGTAATTTTTTTTTGGTGTAGCAGCTCGCAAAGGGATGACCCTATAATTCTCAAAAGGAACTGCGAGTGCGAAACGGGGGAGGGGCACTGAGGGGAAGCTAGGAGGAAAAGGTGAAAGAGCCATAGGAAAAAACCGAAATGGGGGGAACGAGGGAAGAGGTTTCATCTGAGCATTCTCCATGGAAGTATCGATAAAATAGGCAGAGGTCGGTAACGTTACGACGTGAGGATAAAGATTCAAGAGAAGAGGATATGGCTGAATCACCGATGAGACGGATAGCACGTTTTTGAATAGAGTCCAGCGTAGAGAGGGATGGAGGAGCGGCTTCACCCCAGATATGCGAGCGCTACTCAAGAGAGGGACGGATTTGGGTTTTATAGAGCAAAAGAAAGGAAGCTGACTTGGCCATGTTAGCTATGTGATGGTGCCATTTACGGTTTGATGACCTTACTGAGGATACGGGAAAGCGGGGATACGGGAAAGCGGGGATACGAGAAAGCGGGGATACGAGAAAGCGGGGATAAGGGAAAGCGGGGATACGGGAAAGCGGGGATACGGGAAAGCGGGGATACGAGAAAGCGGGGATACGAGAAAGCGGGGAGACGGGAAAGCGGGGATACGGGAGAGCGGGGAAACGGGAAAGCGGAGAAATGGGGAAACGGGGAAGCGGAGAAATGGGGAAACGGGGAAGCGGAGAAATGGGGAAACGGGAAAGCGGAGAAATGGGGGAATGGGAAAGCGGAAAAATGGGGGAA